AAAATGAAGTTTATCTCCTCCAGGAGCTTTTTCAAATTTAAACCTAGTAGAATGTTGCATTATGAGGATCAATAGGTCTCCTTAGTTTCTATTTGCATATTAGGGAAGTGTCTTTCTCCACAGCTGTGTAAATTTTAATGTAACATGCTTGTCTTTTATCGTTTAGCATAACTTGTACATAGGTTACTTTTAAAGAGTAGACTCAAAAGTGAATACTGAAAGATAGGACAATACCTGGAACATTTTGCAAATCATTCATAACGTCATTCACATCAAAATCATTGACACTTCAATACTAAGATGTTATTTGATTTCATAGTGCACAGTGTATTTTATCGGAGAAAAACTATATACATTGAGTTGGAATTATTTGAAGTGTAGTAGGAAACCGAAATTCATTATACCGATTCTCTTATTAAGCATGTACGTATACCCATTCTCATAATAAGCATGTAAATATAACATATCTCACATTCGCTTTCATATTTTAAGAGGCCGTGCATATCAAAATAGACTTAGCTAATAGCAACACGGTTTCCACTCTTAATCATTACCCATTCAAATGTTTGACTGCCATTTCAACTTCACGAAAAATGTGCTGTCATCCATTTCGTCTGTCTGAAGGCAATTTAGTTGCGTTGGATCGCCTGGTGCTTTTATGATTTTATAGTTCTGTGCAGTATTATGTCCATCATTTATTAATCTATTGATCTTATGTGAGGCATTTTCCTGATTTATCTTGGATTGTATAAGTTTTACCTTGTTTATGGTTAGTGAGCTTTTTCATCAGCTAATATGTCATTCTGCTGTCATTTCTACTCAGACTGTTTTTAATTTTGCAGCATTGTCTTTCTAACCAGGAATCCTTTTGCTCGTTCATGCGTTCCTAATTAGATTGTTCATCTCTCTCTCTCTCTTTCTCTCTTTCTCTCTCTCTCTCTCTCTCTCTCTCTCTCTCTCTCTCTCTCTCTCTCTCTCTCTCTCTCTCTCTCTCTCTCTCTCTCTCTCTCTCTCTCTCTCTCTCTCTCTCTCTCTCTCTCTCTCTCTCTCTCTCTCTCTCTCTCTCTCTGCATTTTCGAGCTCCTTCATTATCCAAATATTTGATCAAACAGTTATCTTTAAATAATGTTCGTATTTAATCTTCTCTGGGAACTGTCAGTCTAGTGCATAGGTCCTGTACGTGGATATATAAAGTAAAAGATGTCATTATCCATACCGAAACTGGCAATTTTGCACCCTTCAACAAGACAAATATTGATAGAAGAAATACATTTGTTTTCAACATAGTAAAGAAAACATGAAAACTACGCCTACAACTTCCGCTGGTGCTGTACCAACAAATAAATCCCCGTCCTTTTGTAAAACCAAATCTTTACAAATTCCTGATATTTTGGCAAAGTTAGAGAGGACAAAACGAAATATTCAGGAGACGTTTTAAATTGACCGTAAATTGTAATTTTCAAAACAGTCCATTTGAGTTCAGTCGAGCGATCACACAAATCTCGCTGCAGCCCTATAAAACTTGATTAACGATATACTAAATGCAGTTCACAGTTGCGTAATCGGGTCAGGATTCCTGGAGACGTCAAGAGATGCGAATCACTTTGTTAATCAATGTTGTTGCAGTGATATGTGGACTGTTATATTGTCATTTATTTTACAAGTTATTTTAGATGCTATAATAATTCTAAATTAAAATGTGCATTAGGCAGTGCCCTGGCGCAGGTTACGAAAATTACATGATAAACGCAAAATCTAGCCTTTTGGAAAATTTCTAAATAAATTTTAATAAACATTTAGGTCAATAATCTTTGAAGAATTGTTTCTCCCTCCATCATCAAGTAAAGTAGATACTTCTAAAGAGAAATATCCAATTACTTGTACCACCGCAGTTTGAGCCTGTTCACTGAATGTTAGAGGAAAAGGGCACATACTTTTAATATGATGTTAGGTAATGGATGGAACCCGGTATGTCAGATTGGCACTGTTAGAAACATAGCTTTAGATTACGAAATTCGATTTCATGACATGCTATTAAGGTGAACTATTAGATATAAAGCTATACTCAATTTTATTCTTTTTTTAAGACTGCTCTTGAAGATATATGCCTCTTAATGAAATGTACGGATCCAAAAACCGGCAAATGTATCGATTTAACTCATGGTGCAGCAAGAGGTACCAAATGTGGAAGAAATAAGGTAATCACTCACTACATTCTCTAAATCTTTATAATTATGAAAATCAAATGCACTCAAGGACCTGATGGTGTTTTCAAAACTAACCAATTATGCTTATAGCAATTGAAGTGTAGTAGTGTCAAAAGAAACGAAAGGAAAAAAAAACTATTTAGAATGTTTTACCGAAATGCACACTTAAATCGAATAATTTAGCAACCGCATTACAGCCATTGCAAATACATTACGACTCCGTTCAAAATAACGAAAATATTTCCATAACGTACCTATCTATCTATCTATCTATCTATCTATCTATCTATCTATCTATCTATCTATCTATCTATCTATCTATCTATCTATCTATCTATCTATCTATCTATCTATCTATCTATCTATCTATCTATTCTATCTATCTATCTATCTATCTTTCTATCTATCTATCTATCTATCTATCTATCTATCTATCTATCTATCTATCTATCTATCTATCTATCTATCTATCTATCTATCTATCTATCTATTCTATCTATCTATCTATCTATCTATCTATCTATCTATCTATCTATCTATCTATCTATCTATCTATCTATCTATCTATCTATCTATCTATCTATCTATCTATCTATCTATCTATTCTATCTATCTATCTATCTATCTATCTATCTATCTATCTGGTATATATCTATCTAGATATATATATATATATATATATATATATATATATATATATATATATATATATATATATATATATATATATATATATGTTCTTTATGTTCTTTCTCCAGTGGTGCATTGATGGATTGTGTGTTCTTAAATGCTAGAGATGGGTAAGTTGCAACCATGGGAACAGTAGTGTGTCTGCAACACTAGTAATTATTGGTTGTTATTTTGAATTCTTCGCTGGTCTGGCAGGATACAGAACGAGAGGCAGTTATTTGACAAGCAACAAGACTCTGGATGATATAGCATTTAATATGTTCCTTTTTCCGCTAATCAGCAAACAAATTCGAAATCACACCTTCTGAATAACTTATTAAACGCAACGAAAAAGCTTTCATTATTGGTTCCGCCATTATAGCTGTAGTACGCAGATTTTTGCCATTCAAAGATGATAATATTATGGACAATTACTTTGACAACAACGGCGAGGACGGCTTCTACAGGCAACAATAGCGGCGACGGCGACGACCAAGACGACGAAGACGACAAAGCTCTATCGACGACGACAACAACGACAAAGACGACGACGATGATGATGATGACGATGAAGTCATATTTATGAATTCAACTGATTCAATTTATTATGATGACAATATTATTGTAGTCCTTTCAGCTACAACTTACACCGAGACTCCTCATCCTTTTATATAATCGGAAACGTCGTCGGACTTACTGTCCAAAATATTTCTTCATAATTATTCAAAATATACAATTATTCATTAAGTGTTTTATAAACGAAGAACATTTATATGTTTGGTATTGCATGATTTCAATGCTAACGGCAATAATTAAAAATGTACAAGATACACGGCCTTCTTTAATTTCGTAAATATATTATCAACATTATAGAAACAAGAGCTTAAATTCAAGCATAAACACCGTAATATATATGCAAAAATACATTATTTAGGAGACTTTTTGCTGAAGATTTAAGTGGTAAAAAGGATATAAATGCTGGTTATTTGAATATATCTTTAGAGATAGTTCAATGGTTCACTTAATTATTAAGATACATTTCGGTCTGCATAATGCAGAAAATTTAGGATGGTCCACTTAAAGCTTTTATGAAAATGATATGCTCAAAATCTAACTTACTGAAAAACTTGGTATATATATATATATATATATATATATATATATATATATATGGAAAAATACATAATTTATGGGACTTTAAACTGAAGATTTAAGTTATAAAAATGATATAAATGTGTGTTATTTCAGCAAATCTTTTGCAGACAGTTCAGTGATTTTGTTTAGTTATTAAAATACATTTGGGTCTACCTAATCCTGCATATTTAGAATGGTCTACTAGATCTGTTTTTATAAATATACATTCTTAACTTCAAGCTTAATGAAGACCGTGATTATATATATATATATATATATATATATATATATATATATATATATATATATATATATATATATATATATATATATATATATATATATATATATATATATATATATATATATATATATACAAATACCAGATTGCATCATTTGAGAGACCATAAACTGAGGGTTTAACATGTATAAAGCATATAAATGTTGGTTACTTTTAGGAATCTTTGGAGATATTTTGATATTTTGTAATAATTACTAAAACACATTTTAGTCTACCTAATGCTACAAATTAAGGATGGTCCGATTCAAGCATATATACTTATAATCTAGCACAAAAATGTCAACGATTTATATTTACGATGATGTGCGAAATCTCCTAGACCATAAATGAATGATTTTTTTGCAATGTTTTATTCCTTTTAAAAGGACTGAACTTTTATGATATAAATTACACTATCATCGCAAAACTAGAAAAACAAATTATCTGTTAATATTTTTCATACATAACCAAAATGGAAAGATGTGATTATGATTTTTACCGTAGCTTTAACAATTGTTCAGTAATTTTGCTACGATGCCTGCAGTGTGGCAGTTTATAGTGATGTCTAGCACTGTGGCATCATGCCGCAGGCATGTAGCATGATGACCCACCCAGTCTCATTATCCTGATAACATGCTCACCAGTCTTAACCTCTTAATGCTGAGCGTGAAGTGAGGCATCTATTAGAAACATTTTGTTAAGTCTTTGGTATGACTATACCGGGGATTGAACCGACGATAGTCAGCATCGTAGGCGGACGCTCTAACCACTAGGCCACTGGTCACAATGGAAATCATATGGGCTCTAACTGGTGGTTTCAATAATGTGTCAGTACATGATGCACTGGGATAATTTTCAGCACTTTTACTGATCTACACAACAGAGAAAAATTTCAACCTTTAATGCCATGTTAATCAGTTTTACATTTATTATTCTATTTGCACTTTATAAGTCTCTTCTGTATTTTTTAGATGAATAGCAAACAAATAGGATTGAAAGAAAGGCAATTGATTACAAAAAGATGTCAAATAACGAGATGAACAACATATTGACTCCTTAATTGCATATCCCTAGTTTGCTGAGATAACATGAATATAGATCAATATTTCAAAGCAAACAGTATGTGATAAATATTCAAATCAATGATTGCAAACATTATTCAAACATGTCACCACAAATGGTTTAATTTGTTAAATATCAGCTCTCTATAATCAATTGATATATGTTGATTTTATTATTACCGACCCATCGACAATAAAGTAATTAAGAATATTTGGTGTTTGATTTCAATGCATTATGTGTTCAATCACTGTCCAAACTATGGCAGACATATCTCTGCTTATTCAACTTGCACAAATGACCAAACTCCAAGCAAAAGGGTGGTTGGTAAAAGTAACCCTAAATTTATAAATCAATATAATCTAGTCATTAGTTATCATCAAAAAGCTGCAAACTTGTACTTGCAACTTAGGGGGTTGTTGTCACAGAATCTTCACACAATTTGTTGAAATATGTTTCCCATTCCCAAATATATTTACCCCATTATTCATCAACAATTACTGTTGCAGTAGCCATTCAAACAAAACGTGTCAGAGTGGTACATAGTGGGCATTTACAAAGGATAACATTTCGCTAAAATATAACTTTTACTGTTATAACACAGAGATGTTTGAAGCCCTGAAAGGATTAGGCGTTAAACACTTTTAGCTTGAAATTTAGGCAAACATCTGAGCAACAATGACAGTCGCTGAAAATTGTATCCATCTTTCAAAACCAACAAAGTGTACACATTCTAGAAGTATGAAATATCTGCTGATACCATTTAATGACCTTGAGGTAGACATGTGCATCGACATCCAGCCATAAATGTGCTTCAATGTTCTTATGTAATTTTTCAATGAATTCTGGTCAGTGACGTCAGACAGGATGAGTGAAAAAATGACTAAATATTATACTTTATATTTGCATACATATACTGGAATTATTATGAATTCAGTTTTGCTTGCAATATGACGAGATGGTGTGAACATGTGAGGATTTAATGTACTTCATCTATTCATGCTATACCTCAGACATGTACATATATACTGTATGTACCAGTGCATGGCTTCTCTGAATTAAGTAGAATATTGTATATGCAATTTCTGTTTTAACTACACAAGTATGTTTTGTTACTATGCAGATTTAAGATGGTAATAATACCAATGAAGAATGTATTTTTGCATCCACTTCTACTCTCCCCAATCATTTTTAGCATGCATCATTTACCCTCATGCAATAACAAGATTTCACTATAATTGAAAACGAGTGATGAAAACTATTACAAAAATTTTCACTGCTTGATCAAAACATATATCATTCCTAACTTGATTAACAACCATCCCCTTGAGTAAAACCAGGATCAGAAAACTTAATCTTCATTTACTTATTCTCCTAAACATTAATAGTACCTATTGAAAGGGATTTTGACATAGTATATCTACCTTTGCTGGGGCCACATTCATGACTGAAAACCTTTGTTGTACAGATAAGATTATCAGGGTAAATCATCACGTGCACACAGCTTAATCCAAGTTCATGGTACAAGCATGATCACATATTTCATTTCAATATATAGCAACTCTACCTGTACCCCAAACGGTGCTGCATCCAGGATTTATAACATTTTCATAATCTACCTATGTTGTAAAACATCATACCAAATAAGACATCTCTATCTCCACATACGAAATCAAATAAGTAGAGAAAACGCTTAAAAGTGCGATGCAATGGCCTAAATCCCCATTCCTATACTTTACTTTTCAAACATGAAACATTGTTAATGTTGAAGCATTACTGTAATATTTTAAAAAATATATTTATACAATGTGATAAATAACTAGTTTCAATATACAGTCAAACCTGCAAACCTGTCTTGAAAGACCATTGCTATGTGAGACCACCTGTTCTTGAGAGACCACATTCTTAATGTACGAATGTATTGATTATATATATATATATATATATATATATATATATATATATATATATATATATATATATATATATATATACATATATATATATATATATATATATATATATATATATATATATATATATATATATATATATATATATATATATATATATATATATATATATATATATATATATGCATTACAAATAGAAATCAGGACATGCATGTGATCACTAATGAGACTGAATGAATTAATCCACAATCTTGCATAAGAACAATATCTAATAATATTGACTGACACAAGGTAGCCCAATACCAGCAATGCTTTCTCATTGATAACACAAACAATAAGTATTAATATCAATATCATAATAATAAGAAGAATATAATTAGCCTGTTGTGAAATTATAAAACAATAACAAAATGCATGAGGCTAATCAATTATATCCTCCCAAAACAACAACAGTTAAATTAACCATGCAACCTACAAGCCCCTTGCAGTGGCACTAGCTGCAAACCATTATAACGTGATGTACATCCAGTTACTTAAACTGTTTCTATAGTTTTGTTTGTAAATATTGACAACGTATTAGTAATGCCCATATTTGTAAACAGACTGGCTGACCCACCCAAATCCACTTACAAAGGTCTGTTAAAAAAATAAAAAATTATAGGTAATGCAGAACCACATTATTAGTGATAAAAACAGCTTAATATACCCGATGAACATTAAGGACCACTGGACAAGACACGGGCTGATAAAACTGTAATGCAGAAAGCAAGTGTTATTATCATGGGAATGGGGTGTGTTATTATTTGCAGATATTAATGTTGCAGTCTGTATACCATTAATTAATGGTAAAGTAAAACTTGATTGTTCTCTTAACTGATCTGGTAGATCATTCCAGAGAAGGGTATTCATAACACAAAGATTTTTGGCCAAATGTTGAGATTTGTATTGTTTGGATATTTACAATATTTGCATATCTAAAACTGTTTTTATTATGTTTAAAGCAGAGTAATTCATCCAAGCATTTTGAATCATGTTTATTCAGAAATTTTAAAGTCCATATTTATAGCCTTATGTCATAGTTCTGTCATATTCCTAACTGAGATTTCACAAGTGAACAGTGCATCATTACATAATAACAGAACAGAAGACTCATTACAGTACAAAGCATCATTACTCTATCATGATCAGACCCCAATATAAGAACAAGCCCCAAAACTTAGTGAATGAAGCATATAGTTCATGGCGATACAAGTTGGTGAAGGTGTTTTAGTACTCACATATACTTATCATCACAGCAAGTTTTGCAACACTCCCATAATCATTTTATGAGAAAACAGCTTGCTGCAAAACATGAACCGTGCCCCTTACATATGATGAAACACCAATTTGCCTCAAAAAGCACCATTACCATAGGCTTGCTTACTGGTGTTCAAAAAGCTGACCATGTGAAATTTACTGTAATCAATTTGTCCACTTTTAAAATTGTGTGCAACGTCTAATAATAATTTCAAGTGTCAGCAGCCAACACAGCTACTGCCAATGATTTTATTTATACTCTTTGATCCTGACAAAAGACATTGTGCTCCCTTTAACCCTGGATATATTCAAAGCCCCTTGTAAATTTGCTAAAAGCTAATCCATCAAAAGAGAAGACACAATTTTTTCCCCAAAACTTGAACAAACTGACCTTTAACAAAACCTCAATCATTTTATGTCTATTTATTTAAGTTTGATCTCTCCTAAAACTTCAGTTGTTAAAATATGGAATCTCTGGACAGATGGAAATTGCAGGCACTTTGTCTGCCTTTTCCGACATTTGTTTGGCAAAATGAATTACTTATATAACCATATTGGCTGATGAACAGTGAATACGATCATCAAAAGGAGACCACAAAATTAAATCCAACGAATTTAAATGATTCAAACCTGACAAATTTCACAAGGTTCCAAGTTTTTAAAGATAAATTTCCACATCATTTCCTTTTTTCCAGAATGAAATTTATTTTTTAAGGTTTATATATGTTCGTTACCTAATGAAATTAAGGAACATTTAGGATTTTAACCCATTTTAAAATCAAAAGATGATTATATTTCTTGACTCTGTCAACATATATGAGTGCAATATGAGATCATGCACTAAACCACACATGTATCACATGAAACAAGTTTGATAATGTATTTTCATACAAATTAGCATATAAAATCATTTCAATTTACACAATAAAATTGAAACTTGTCTTGGCTGAACAGCAATAATTTAATTTGTATCAGAAAACAATAACACAATGATAAAAAATTAGTTGTTTCCTTTCAAACCATTAATTATATTACAAAATCAGACAAATCAGCTGCAGATCATGCTACCAATCAATATGTATGCGACAGAATATTAATATTCTCATATCACAGTATAAAACCACAATCTATTACTATATTGTCTTGTAAAGAAACATTTAAGCGCCTAATTAGTCTGACCCAATATAAACCAAAACTAACAAGATTTTTCAAACAAGTTAAACTATTTAAGATGCTTTGGTTAAAGGTCCACCACTTAAAGTAATTTAATTACAAAGAGTTAATTTAAATTTTGACAAAAATACCCGCAAATACTGTTAAAACAATGATTGAATTTCATTTAAAATCATTATTTCGGCTTGCAATGCAATAAACCAGTCCTCAAAACTGAATTGGTACAAGGGCTAGTATTATTTCATAATATATAATGCACGAAACAACAATCTTCCAGTTCTCATGTGACCTAATTAAGATCTGATATAATAATTTAAGCTATATATAACATTATAATAGTTTT